GCAATTGACACAGAAAATTCATTGTCCCTTACCTACTTTTGGCCGGGTACAAAGAAACGATCCATCTTTGAGAATCTTCGTTTAACCATCTCGTTTTTGCACACATCTACACGCGCACGTAGCACGATGATCAAGATAGGGAAGGAGTTTCCGGTAAAATGTAGCGGCGCATTAGAAGGCCTTTAAAAAACGTGCAAGCACGTCGTAGCCGGAAACACGTACTTTTCACCGGGTGAAAGCTCCCCAGAGAAAATGTACTGGTGCAAAGAACACGAGATGAAACTTCCATGAAAAGAAATGAAGAAAAATGTTAAGTTCCTTCGACTGTGTTATCACATTTGACACGTAAGCTGCTATCTTTGTTTGGGTCATGATTCAAAAAATTCAAATGGCATATTTGATTAACTATTGTATTTTCGAAATTCCAAAAGAAATTTACAGAACGCTGTGGTTGCTTATTAAAAAATAATAATAGAAACTGGGAGAAGGGTATTACGTGACGGAGAATAGGCCGTGTGTTTTCTTTCGATCGACCTCGTTTCCTTTATTCCTCGTTCTCGAATATCATGCCTTCGAAAAGACAAACTTTTATTTTTAAAAAAGTACCTTATATTTTCTAACGCTTCTGTTAGCGGCAAGATAATAAATAAAAGTTGTATCAGAGTGTTCGCACGCAATTGCAGTTTGTTGTTTTCAGCTAGCTAACAAATCGAAAGTGAAAATGGAGCGCAACATGTGAACGCACTGGGATAGTTTTTCCTCTCGCGCGATCATTTCCTTTCCCATAAGCTGAATTATTGGTGCGAGCGAAGCACCGCGTGAAATCGGTCGTGAACGGGCGGTCAGCCGCAGCGCTAACGAATTCGCCCCCGACGCGTTTCTCTCCCTTTCCAGCAAGCCGATTAATCGGTTAATTCTTGGTAATTTCGTTCATTCCTAATTAGCGAATATGCTACTGGATTCGCGACCAAACAGTGCCGTATTAAATTTCTCTATTCGAATCCCCTCAAATTCACGCCTGAACGTACGCCAGATTTATATCCTAATTAATCTTCTCGTTAAATTACATGGGTAGCATTTTACATTTCAACTTGTGTCTGAGCAATCAGAAAAACAACTCGAATCGTTTTGGATAAGGGATGAACGTAAGAAAATGTCGTAAAGAGGAAGTTTCAAGGAAAGCTATTACACGTTTTAACCAGACGTTTTTTCCGCTGATATAGTGGGCTGTGTCTTATCTGGTTATCTCGAAAAACGCTCTTGAATATTAGAACGACGAGCTGGCGCAATTCTTAGGAAAACGTTCTCTTCACAGAGATTGAATAGCTTCTATCAGATAGTTCCTTATCTGCTTACAAGACACAATCCTTGTCACGGTTGTTTGTCCGATGTAAATCGAATCAACGTGCAGCTACGGTTGCATGTCGTCTACAAATTGCGCTAATCCTGAATGGAATAGGTGAAATTTGCTGTGTCGCAGGCGAATCCACGTGGATTCGAAGCATTTACTCGAAAACGGCTACTCAGTTTGTCTTGGAAACATTGAAATTACATTGCAATTCAGTAACCTGGAACTGTAAACTGCCACGAAATATTTCTTTGTCGACGTATTTATTATTTCTTCTCACAAACATGTTTTCAAAGTTCTTTTCTTCGCTGAATACCTTTTTCCCTTGCTTTTCCACTTCTTTATTGTTCGTTTCTCCTCGCGTTTTAGAGTGGTTCCTATAATTTTCACCGTGTGAAAGCTGCACTGGAATGCGGGCGTGTCTTTGGCTCTTACATCGCTGATTTACCAAACACTTCGCTTCATTGCTAACATCATACAAGAGGGTGGGCTCGTTCGAGCCGTGTTTGGTGCATTGTCGATGCCACTTTCCTGTTAATCGATCAAAGCGGCTAATTAAGCGCACAGATTAATCACCGTATTAAAGCGGCGTTCCGCGAACGCTCTTTTGATTCGAGTAATCACCGTTAACCAAGATTGAACGAAATTTGCCAGCGTCCCGTGCTCGTTTCCGATCGTTTTAATTAAAACGTCTTAACCCAGAAAATGAAGCGGTGGTCGGTGTCATCAGACATTCCATTTCGCGCGACGCCCACTTCATTGGTATTCAAAGAAAGCCTTCTTTTAATCATCCGCAGCATTCCTGGAAAAATTTGTGCGTCGAGTGGCGGCTCGTTGCGCTAACCTCCTTACCGTCCCACTAATCGTCTATCGAACTGTTAACTATCCGCTGCCTTAACCAGAATTGCTGGACCAGGTGGCTGGTCGATTTCAAGACTAGTTAATTAAGCAGCGCGTTCATTACGAGACTCGATCAAGTTAGAACGGTTCGAGTGCAGTACACGCCGGTAACCGGGTCAATTTTTTAGCGAATTTCTCGAGTCTTTTTACCTATTCGCCGATGATAACAGCCGTGGCGACGATCGAAGCCACGATCACCAGCACTTCGCCACTGTTCTACCTCGTTGACGAGTATCAAGCGGAGTAATTAATGTCGTCGTCGCCGCTAATGAAGTTTCCCTTCAGCGGCGAAGTATTTGGAAAGGAATTAACGGCGTGCCATGGGCTGAGAAGACTTTCAACGATGCAGTGTGCGCCAATTTACCTGGCGATCTGACTAAGTGCCTGAGAGAATGGTCCCGATCGAATTTTGCCTGGTAAAAACGAGGATTGGACCGATATCAATACGGAAAATATCGATAACGGTTAAGAAAGGGGGAAACAATGTTTCGGAAGGTCGGTAGCAATGCAATTTCCGGCGAATCTGGAGATCCACCGGACGAACGATTACGCGTGTCTCCTCGTCCCGTTTTATTTCGTTAACCGGGTGGAAAGTGGATAGTTCGAGGCAGCCGTAATTGAATTATCTGCACGGTAGATTGCTGAATCTAACGCCCTGTTCTTTTCTAGCGTCCACTTATCTTAGTTCACGATTTCCTTCTTCCCAGTTGCAGTTCCCATATAAATAGATTCGTCTCGAGGAAGAATCGTAATTTAGTAGAATGGTCAATGTGTCTTTTCGTGGTCTCGAAACAGACGTATTCTGTTCAAACATATTTGGGCTCGAGTTAGAATTTAAACCTCGGTAAATTTTTGATAGTTTCATAAATTTTTTATTAATTATTAATAATTAAACGAAATAAGCAGAGTTCACCTTACATTCGTTAATCAGATTCTCTTACCCCGCCCATTAATGAAAAACAAAGGTAGGATAAACAGTAAAAAGGCAAACGAAGCAGTTCATTTACAAAAAAGGGTGATCGCAGAGGTAACCGGGCTTCTTTTATAAGTAGACATCGAAGATACCTTTTTTTGTGCGGTTCGTTGAAAAGGGGTAAAAACCACGGGAGCTCTTTGGTTCGACAATTCTGAATGGAATCTCGGATCAAGCTCGCCGAAATTGGTTATGGTCGCTTTGTTCAACCGGTGGCAGCGATGAAATGTAATTTAAATGGCGAACGATTCGACGATTCGTCGTCGTCGAGGACAAAAGTGTCAAGTCCGATTGGGCAGCGCGTGACGAGTTAACGAGAATTCGATTTTGCCACCGTGCTCTTAGGGGGGGGGGGGGGGGGGGGGTGATAAATGGGGGGCAGAGAAAAAAAAGTAGAAAGAAGCTTTATCGAGGAAACTCGTGTTCCTTTTATTATTAAATTCACGTAACTTTCTCTCTCGATCTCCTTTAAACTAGAAAGTCGTGCCGGCAGGGGTTGGTCACATAGTTCCTCGTTCTGGGTCAGCTATCGATGTCAGTAGCGTCGGTGGAATTCGATAAATCGACCCCATCTTTCCTCTTATTCCCTCGAATCATTTTGATTTTTATTCTTTCTTTACCTAATTCCCCTCTGGCCAGGAATCGAATTTGTACGCTGCCGAAGAAAATATTTGCAGGCGAAAATTACGATAATACGAGAGGGGGCCGTTTCTTTTCGAGCGAAGAACACGAAATTTATAGTCCTCGCGATACGTGAGCTCGATCTCGCCGTAAGATTAAAGCTGATACGACGCTCCTGTGAGATCCATTCGCTCCCCTTGTAAAAATGCTGCAATTTGGCGAGTTGTCTGTTCTGAGGTTTATCATCGTCACGTGTACGTGACGTTGAATCGACTACTCTTGTCCCTCGAACCAGTGTGAAACTGCGTTAGTGTCTGAACAAAATTAACCGTATCCTCCTGTGCACTCTTTTAAGTCGAATCGAATCGAATCGAGAATACAATCGAACAGGATTTTTATTAATATTCGTTTAAACAATAATTTATCACTAATCTTCTAATAACATCTTTTTTGCTATACTCGCATTATTTACGAGACAACCAAATACGAAATCCATTGATGTCCCATTAGATTTTGCAGTATCTTCAGTTATTCGATGTAATATCGTCAGCAACGTATCCCAAGTAGAGGAACTTGAGTGTCAAGTCAAGATGTGCGATCGATTCATCGACACGATTACCGTGAACAGCGGGAAGACACGTTCGCGGTTGGCTTCCGAATCGTGTGACCGATAAACTTCGTTCGCTCATGCGGGACGTGTTTCAAAGTTTACAGCCGCTAAACTACTTCATGATCATTACCGAGTCAGTGGATATTTTTCTCATCCCTGTTGCACCAACTTTATCCATTTTTTCTCCGCTAAAAGTTCGCCCATGTTGAGTTTTTATTGTCTCAACTCGGTGATGCGCCACGAGGGAAGAGCAAAATTACCGCGTTAGCAAACTAGCAAACTGGTTAACAAAATCACGTTTTATAGGAAGGATGCGATAGTAATACAATTTTTGTTTACGAGAAAACATAATTCCGGGCTTCTCTATCCCTTCATTGTTGTTTTTGCACCGCGGTGCATCGTTAAGAGCATCGTACCACCTGTGGCTACCCTTAGGACGGGGCGTTTTAGCACGGCCTATAGGGAATCATCGTGTTTCCTTCCTTTATTCTCGCGATTCGGCGCGTTTTTCTTTCGTTTAGAAATTAGGATTTTGAAATTGTCCGCAGACGAGACAGAGCAGCGGGACGGTTGGGAACAGCGAGGAGCAAGAAGGGACGAGTAGCTGTTCTCCGAGGACGTCGACGGCCACGACGATAACGATGACGATGACGGGGACGCCGACAACGACGACATCCGCCATGACAGCAACGTCAATGGCGCTGCCATTCGTGCCCGTAGAGTCAGAAGCATCGGTATCGTCCACGATGGAGCAGCAACCACATTACCGTTGGGCGTTCCAACGGGATCGGGCCGAAGCGGCCACTTCTGCGATCGCTGCCACGTGCTCCAAATTCTTCCCGGCTTCGTCGTCCACGGAAACCAACAGATTGTCGACGAACGTACTCTTTTCTCTGCCTGCAACCCCGAAGAGATCAACCCCTGTTTCGTCCACCAAGGCGCCTACCATATCCAAATCACAAATGAAAGGTGAGTCGATTTTATAAAATTCTATTATTATTTTAAGACTATATTATTTTAAAAAATCCAAGTTTTCTCAGGATACAATACTATAGAATATTATATTATTTAAAAAAATCCTAGTTTTCTCAGAATACAATGCTCTTAACAAAGAAAAAATACTTTTGGAGCAAGGTGTACCGAAGCTAAAAGAAAATTGATTTAAAGCGAGAAGTAGAAAGTGGCTCGCGATACTTTGCAAGCATCGGTAAAAGTAACCGTGTCTCGTACCGGTATCCCATGAATTATTTCAAAGTAACTTCTCGCCCGAATGAATGGTTACAAGCGAACGAAGAATCTCTTCCCTGTCCGTGTCCCAAGTGCAAAAGCACGACATTACCGGCCAAAGTTTCCGTTCGTATTTAACGTGACGTAGCTTAACAACGTTCGTTCGCAAGTTTGTTTTCCAGCTTGGTTTCGAGCGACACTGACAGTCGCACGAATGTATCGGACATTCTTCGTAAAATTGCTTTTCAAAGCGTTTACGCGAGCGCGAAACAAATACGGACAAATCATTCAGACGTAAATCAATATATTGTTTCAATTAATCGCATCGAAGGTTCGTGTTTGTTTAATAATTTAATGCTGCATTAATCTTTTGACAACTTATTGATTTAAATGGAATTCAACAAATTCCATAAAGTGTGACCGTCAAAGTGTGAAATCGAAATTTCGATAGATCAAACATTCTATTTTTCTGCAAGTTACAATGACATCATACGTATTATGAAATGTCGAGAGGGGGAATTTAATATCGGAGATTAAATTATTGTTTATGATTCATGGTCAGCCTGTTGTTATTTCCTATGCAATAGGTACAATATATCATTATTACTATCGGTTATTGTTAGCGGTTAAATCAATAGAATTTAATCAAGAGACCGTGGGTTACTGTATTTGTTTCAATACCCTTTATAATGTTAATACGTGGGCCACGACGAGGATCCCCGATGTTTAGTCAAGTAATTATAATGCATCACAAATTTAATTAAGAAAAAATTCAAAGAAAGTTTATTAATGCATAGTACAATGCGTCGCACTGTATATCGATATTTCTACTGGTGCCGACAGCGTATTAACATGTTATTTGGCACAATGAATACGGCCGTGTGTAGTCGGCCACGTTATAATTGCAATAATTATTCGGAATACGTTCGTTTCATATTTCAATTTAATCTCTACACTTGTTACCTTGTGTAATTAATATCATACTAATACTATATTATATTAAATTACGTTAAATTGAAGAATGAAACGATCATATTTTGAATAATTGCAATTATAGCGTGTCTTGCCACCCACGGCCATATTCACTGTGCCAATCGAAGTGTTAATGATCCATATCATCGTGTGCCGTACTAAATATGATTATCTGTACCGTGTTAGTGAACGTGTTAAGAGGTAAAAATAATAGAAATGATTATCATCGGCAACGTGCGTTAACTGGAAAACCGTTCAACAAGTTTAAGTTCTAATTAACGCGAGAATTCACGTTTCGTTTTTTTGACACAAGCGTCAGATTTAAACGAAAGTACAATTTCTCGTGTCGCTTTTTTTCTAAATCAAACTACCGTCATGTTTCCACGTCGTTTGTTTTTGACAGCAGTTCGTTGATGTTTCAACTGAATCGCTTTAGTCCGTGTAAAGGAAAAATAATAAAGGGAAAAATAAAGAAAAAAGTGAAGCGATCAGTCCTTCGAGGTACATACTTGCTTTTACAACTGTAAAAACGTTCTCTCATGGAGCTGGGTCGAATCGCCGGCGTTAATAGCAAAAAACGGTATGTCGCAAACGGAATTCGAATCAAAGTAAAATCTGATCTAGTACGTTGGAAACGCGAAACGTTGGAATACGATGGCTTTTCCTGCAAAGGAATATACCCGTGTGCGACTTAAGTTCCGTTCGTTAAAAAAACTTCGTCCCACTCGGAATTTTCGTGTTCGAAATATTCCGAATTCAGCTCGATACGAGATTGGGGTTAATTTCCACGGAGTATCGTTGATTAATGTCGTTTCCGTGAAAACTAGCCGAGAAAACTTTCAGCTGAAAAAATCGCTTCGATAACTTTTCTCGACACAGGAGCGATGTCGGGAACCATGCAACTTACAATCTCGTACAGAAACGCGAATATTCCCGTTAACACTATTAGCTGATAGTTTAATCCTTTATTTAACCTCCCCTCGAATGGCTTTTGAAACACAGTCCCGTAAAAACGATCGTATAACTTGTATTCTAATTCAGGGAACCACCTTCATCTAACGTCTTTTTGCGCTCGCTGGAGGAAAAATCGAAGGAAAAAAACAGAGGAGGGTAAAAGAAAAAAGAAAATTGCGAAACTGCAAATCCGTAACCGGGTTAAGCAGAATCTATTTGTCGACTCTTCTTCCTGCGATCTTTTTTCTACGTCGTTACCCATTAGCGCGAAATCGTGGCTCTCCTTCCTTCCATATTTCTCACAGTCTTCGATGCTGGCCGAGCACAATAGCTCGCGGATACGCCGTGGTGCAGAATGTGCTTATAGGAAAAGCATAGCCGCCGGTACGTAGAAAATCAATGGGACGTGAAACGAGGCTATTAAACGGTCGAGTCAAGCACCGACGATCCAAGTCCGACCGTGCTTGTCTCTTCTCATCGCTACGGGCATCAAACATCACGGAATGTTATCGACCTGCACGTTTAATCAGCTCCAACGATCCTCTCCTACGAAGAAGGTAGTAGATGGTGCTTTTACGATTCTTTCCAGCAGGGTTCAGGTGAAAACGGCATTCACCGTCGCTTTCGGAAACTCTGATTTCATTGCTCGTAATTAACTGTCGAACGCATTAAGAGTAGGAGGAAGCTTTGCCAATGTTCTGCTGGTTCTGAACCTTTTCACTTTGACACAGTTATTGATAATGATGATAATAGAAAATTCGTTGATTCTCGTTGTTACAGAGTTCAGAGAAGCTTTCAGGCTGTTCGACAAGGACGGAGACGGAAGTATCACTAAAGAGGAACTTGGCAGAGTGATGCGTTCACTTGGACAGTTCGCCAGAGCCGAAGAGTTACGCACAATGCTGCAGGAGATCGACATCGACGGTGAGTTTGTTAAAGACAAGTTCGCTAACTAACTGCTTTTAATTAACTATAATTAAGTGTGGACGAGAGGGAATCATGGCGATGCGAGTAAAATTTTCAATCTTCCGCTTTTCAAAATGAAGGTTAGATAACCTACAGCAGTTTTACCTTCTCAATTACGCTTAGCCAACAACGTTTATACGAGTATTGTACCGCGTAATACTTGCAATCTTTGTGAAATCCTATTATCATTGCCCCAACCGAGCAATGCAGAGAACACGTTCACTCGAAATGCACATACCCTCAAGTATTTGCTCTTACATTAAATGTGCATCGTTACATTGCGTTCAAAGGAAAAAGATTGTACGTATCGTAGAATACTTCAAAAGAAAGCTTCATTACGAGCAAGTTTATCTTCATTTTAAAATAACCATTATACACACAAAGCGAGACTATTTCTGCGTTTGCATTGTGCTAACAGAAAACGCATAACGCAGGTGAAAACAAATCGCCTCGCGCACGGAACGCTGTGAAAATTCCGCGAAAATCACCGTGGCGTCAATCGAAAATTTTCCATTAATATTCAACGGTGCCATTAAAACGTAGCGAACGAGGCGATCGGCCACGGACGGCTTGTTAAAATTCGTAACAGCGTTTCGACCGCGCTTGGCTAAATTCATTAGCGCGTTCGAATAAAGTGCGGAATGTTTCAGAACGTAAATTGTTTCGTTCGTCAAATTTACGAGCTGACTCCTTGAGAGGTGAGGTGGACCGACGAAACAAGGTGGCAACCGGGGGGGATTGTTGTTAGCGAAAGGATCCCTAGAAGTTTACCATTGGTCCGTGTAACCAGGTTGGCCCACTTACAACCTTTCTGCCCGACGGCATCGGCTTAATTGCGGGTAATTTTCGCGAAGTGTTCTGCCGCCTGACAATGGGAAGGACGTTCGTGAGCGGAGACTCTTTATTAAGCCAGAACCACTCTCTTCGCCTCCCTTCACGAACCCTTTCCCCTCGTTCGATCGCAACATCTCCCCTTTTTCGTTCGACTGTATCCTCGCGAGACCAGACTTCTTCGTTCGTTCATTCCTTCGTTCGTTCGTTCGTTCGTGTTTTGTCAGGCATGAGAAAATTGCCGGAGAAATCTTGGCCGACCGCAACCAGCCAGACGAAAATTTCCATTGTTAACGACCACCAATCCAACGGTATCGTGACCGAAATCTTCTTAACCTTTTTACCCTAACCGTTGGGAGAAGTTCAGAGATGCCTTGAAAGGATAAAACACGAGTTTTCGCTGAAAATTAAACCTGTATCATTAGTTTCAATTGACCCGTTAAGTGAAAGCAGAGAGGGATCAAGAAGAGGTACAAATTTCACAGCAGACAATAAAGTACCCTGCGAATATGGTGTATCTCCTTGCAAAGATACAGGAGATGCCGCGTATAACTATTACGACCTGTTGCTAATTCCTCGAGCGTTAAGCCATTTGTCAGGATGGAAAATCTGAATAACCCAACTCACGTTAGACCGTTCGGAGAAAGGAATTCGCAGGCTGTCGTCGTCAATTGCAACTCGTGTTTACCGCGCGTAAAATTTTTCCTCTCTATGTGCATCGAACGTCTCTCCCCAGGATACGTGGCTGGTATATATCGGCGAACTGGTTGCTCGTGAAAGGTTTCATCGCGACGACAGGATTTTTATTAATTCCACGATACAGCGGATCGCGGGGGATGCATTGTGAACTACCGCGTTTCCGCGTCCACGGATAAGTTCGTTATTTAATTAGCCGCGAAACGATCGAAGAATTCGTGTAACGACTAATTTCGACATTTAATTAATCGCGAAATGATCTTGTAATTTCGTTGCCTCGATATTTCATTTGACAATCATTGTTGCCGATGATAATACGATATCGTTCCTCATTAAAAATACCTATACGTAACGAAAAGGAATGAATGAAAAGGGTGCTGTCGAATAGATGATATCGATGAAGGTTAATGTCATTGAAACTGTGTCGACGAAAGGTGCACTGTTGAAAAGTGTGTTGATCAATCGAAGCAGACTCGTTCACCTGGGTGTGGGACGGTTTCGGTTTTCGATACTAAAACTGGTATCGGCTGGACGAGTAATTAGAAACAGCCACGAGGAACGAGAGCGACGTATGCCTACGTAATCGGGACTCGTTTCGATGTGGATGCACCTCGATGAATACCACGTCCGTCTATCCGAGGCTGTCTGCGTGTGTATCAAATAAAAAGAACCGTGTTCGCGTACACACAACGTGGCAAGAACAAAAAGGGATGGTTAAAGAAGAAAAAAGAAACGTATTGCGGTACACTGATGGCAGGCGGCATTCATAGAAAAGTTCCGATACGACAGCCACCGACATCGTCATTTGAATACGCTCTCTTGCGATAGGGAATTGCCGTGACTTGATCGAGCCAACAAACCGAACCAGTTCATTCGTACGGTGGCATGTAACACGCGTGTACTAACTATAGGTCGCCGACTTCCCTATGTTGGATTTCAATCGAACGGAGTTACGTTGTGGTATTTAGCAACGGCGACGGAACTTCCGACCGGTCGATCGTTAACGGCCGACCGAACGAGTTGACTCTGATAACTTGCGACCCAAGTACGCCTGACCCGGATCGTTATTCAACGATAGAGTTGTTCAGAAACGAGCTAGTCGGAGAAATGAGGCGTGAATTGATTTTCAAGACCCGATAGAGCCATTTGATACACTGCTCTCTTTGTTTCTGATTTCTTGGATAAATAGCTAAGTGATCGTTACGAATTGGGTGACATTCACTTGGAGACGTGTTGATTAATATTTACTTATTTTATTACAGAAAAGTATCATGATATATCAATTTAAAGCTTAAGATTTGCAGAAAATGTCTGTTCTAACATTTTTCTTAATATTCTAAATATGAAAGCAATATCTGAGAAAAGAGATATGTACTTCTACATTTTTCCGATATACGATAGCATTCAAAAGATTGAGGACAAATTTTCTGCCATGCTATTATTTCGTACACGATTTGTTTCATGTTATATCAATTGTATAGAGGGTAATCGTTTGGAATAGACAGATTTACAAGAGATTGGTTCATTATAACAGGGAGCTTGTTTCAAATTCCATTTTCGGTTCAATTGGTCGATTTCTCTTATTCCTTCGTTACTTGACTTTCCATTTTGAATCGTGTTACGTTGATTGCATTCACAACGAACTTTGACGCTGTTTCTACTTCCTCACGCGATGTTTATCGTATTATCGCCCTAGAATCGAAAGTTGCCGATGAATGAACAGTTCGAGCGGAAGTTGGTGCGCGTTCAGGAAGAATCTCTCCTCATAAAATGATACACCCTGCAGTCGGGTAATTGCAAGTTTGCTGGATTTCATTCTAGAAGGAAGCAGGTGGTAAGTGATACGTCAAAAGTTAGTTTGAAGAGCCTCCAGGGGACGTCTGATTCGTTTAAATAAAATCCTGACGTTGGAAACTGAAATTCGTGTTACACGCCCAGCTCAAGATAACTCGGAGCTTCTCAGTTGTTCCACGATGTTTCACTCTCGCGAAACAGTTTCGAAAATTTGAAAGCAGGAGCTCCAACAATACCGAATGTTTTCTGTATGAATTAAAAGCGAGAATTAAGGATGAAAACATAGCGGCTGTTCATATACCAAAAAAAATTTCTGAATTTTTGTTTAGCAAAAAAATCACTCCTGTAAATAGATAGAAAAAAAGGGCAGGTATGAAATAAACACAAACAATCGGAAATACGTTCCAGTTTCCTGTTTCAATTCCATCGTATCTTCCTCGCCACGTATTTAAACAACCTCTTTGGTGTTGTTGTTTCTCGTTCGGATTTGTAGCTGCCAGGAAACGCATCGCCATGAAAAACAGCTCGTTTGACGCTCCTTTGATCCGTGAATTATTATCGGTGGCACTCGTTCACGATTTTCCGTTATTTTCGCGGTTGAAATTTAATATCGCTCGCGAGTCAAAGGGGTGAAAGCGACGCTTTATCGGAAGGTATCGCGAGAAATTGGCCGATGACGCGAACACACGATTACGCAGGGTCAAAGAGACGGAAGAACGGAAAAGAAAATGATGGCAAAAGAAATGGAAAGACGAGTGGGTTCGTAGTAGGAGTTTTCGTTCGATCTCGGGGAACAAAGACTCGCGTTTCAAAAGGAACCTACCAACGTAGATTTCTGTTTGTAAAACGAACGAATTAGCGAGAACCGTTGATAGTCCAAATGACGATTGAAAACACGGTGATCGGATAAACGATGAGCTTCTCCTTCGCAATTTCGTGTGCAAGCTTTCCGCTTCAAAGCTCGCACGGTACACATATTTCAAAGGGGTGCATTCCGCGCGAGACGTATTAGGTTCTGTGACTTCTCTCTCTCTTTGTCTGGCCTAATGCCACTTCCGGGGAATCCGAAACTGCTGTGTTCGCAGTATCGATACCGTGATTGTCATTCGTAAGAGGTTTCGTAAACGCAAAATGAAATTATGCAGTTGAACCATTCACTAATGACGTGCTATTTCTGTTGCACCGTGGTATGTTAGAAATGAGGAAATACGTAAGGACTTGAAAAGTGTACAGGAAGAAATATTCAGATTATCTGAGCGATATAAAAACAAAACTACTGGCAACAACTCTTTACAGCAATGTGTACTCTAGAAGATTAAACAGGAAACATCCGCAAGAGTTCATTAAAAATGAATATAAATAAAGATGCTGCTCCAATGGGAACAGCACCCATACGCTATCCGTACATAATAATATAACAACCTGCTAAATGTCCACCTGGATAAATTGGAAGAACCATTTGGGGTTATAAAAAAAATTTTTGTTGCATATAAAATCGTATTGGATTAGTCAAACAAAGTAACAATCGTAGGAATCGCTCTTTGAATTTCCGAAATTGAAAATAAAACTAATTTCAGAAGTAAACGTTGCGTAAAACGTTGTTACAAAAAACGTAGGCGTAGGTCTGAACGCGATTTCATGGTTCTATAATACAGTTGTAAAGCTCCACAATCAAAGTTTTAAAACGAATTGAAGAAGATTGAAGGGTATACAGTGGATTCTGTTTGTTCGCCAATTCCCTTGTTGCCATCCCCACACTTTTTCCTCCGTTTTTCTTACGACACTCGCGATGTCGTTCGACGAATCGAGGTTTATTTAACAACGATCAATTTATTTAACCTCCCGCATGTTTACCCGCAGATGAGAACGCTCGGATCTGAATTCATCGTTTCTGCATCTGTGACGAGGTAATCCCTCGGTGTTACGCTCGATAAAACATTCCGCTAGATCGTTCATTTTATTCCTCCTTTTTTTATTTCACGATACCTTCGATCGGGCACAGTTTACGAATTAAAATAAATCTGGCGACGATACGCTCGTAACACGTTCGATTCGCGACTTTCAAACAAATAAACAAAATGTTCGAATTAGACTAGATTTATTTCCAAGGATTCCAACTACGGTCCATTTTCTAGTTACGCGAGATTTATCGTAGGTAGAATAAAATTTATACAGGTACCCTAGGTAATTTCCACGTAGACGGGCCTGTTTAGCGTCGGGACCGTTCCGGGTACGCTCTTTGTCGATGAAGTTGGCAAGTTATGCAGGCCACCTCTTCAAGATCCGTCGAGAGATTCCAAAGTGGCGCGGTTGCTCTGGTTACTCTAACCCAGCCTCTCGGAATCCACCAGCCGAAATCCGGATACCTGGAGCAAGAGCCCTCTCGAGCCACGTATATACGTGTGTACGTGTGTGCGTGAATAAACGGAGCACCAAAGCGAGCGGCCAAGTGTGACATAGTTTACACGGATGCAAAAGTAAGCAAGCCTTCTCGACTGCCGGTGAAACCGACTATTACAGCATCCAGACAGCCCCTATCGCGGCCTTTTCAATGTTTTACTCGTGTTCCTAATTACGAGGGTATCAAGTCGTTGTAACATTAAACCCATTATAAGTTGGATACATCTATTAATAATTATGATAAGTTAAGGATCTATTAGTGCCTACTAAAGTTCAAAGTTTAAATTTTAATGAGAAACATCCTTTGTGTTCGTCGATGAAAAGTTGGTTGAAAATTTCGAATCCAGTTCCTTTTAGTGGAAATCGCAAAAACCGGCAAAATGATCATGATATTCGTAAATGGCATGAAAAACTACGTCGAAATGATATATCTATTTATGGGTTTGCGACTTCCGCTATAAGGAACTACATAAAAAATTTCTACCTTACGTATACATGTTTTCGTTCGTCAATTTAGCAGGCAATTACAATAATTCGTTCCGGTAGGAAAAAAGGATTCATGCTCTAATCTCGTTCCGCTAAACCAATTTGTTGGCAAGAAACGAACGATACGTTAGTTTGTACAATTCTTCACGTGGCGACGATTAATCGCTCGAGGAACAAACGTACATTGCTTATCACTGTACGCGAAACCGATAGCTTCGCATGCATCAGTTTAGCCGGATACATGGACGACGTGGAATGCTAGACACGCGATTACACACGCTTTATGTACAGGCATGAAGGAAATCCTGGCTGATGTGAGAATAATCGCGTCTAAGTCCGACATTCGTGCGAGATAAAATCCGTTTAAGTTACCGAGACGGTTGAAAAATCTCGAGCGACTATTCATTTTAATTTGAAAAATACACGTTCGTTGAAGAGCACGTCCATGATTCAACGAGAATAATTTCGTTTTATCCTCGAAAAAGTAATAAACCAGAAAGAGTTCACTTCCAAATCTATGTTTGTACGATCTCTTATCAAAGTTTGCCCACCTATTTTTCTGGAATTTTCTGTAAAAGTTCAAGTTCTTCTCTTCGCGTTCCAGAATTTTCTTCGATGTCTCCAAATCAAAACAGCCATTATACACTCGATGTATGTTATACTTTCTCAGAAAGGATTTTCCTGTTGAAACGAGCTGGTATTTATTTAAAGGAAAATTCTTATCGAATTACCGGAAGAAAACCGATGGCTCTCGATGGTTCTTTACTACGGAAAATTGTAGCTACTCTGGTGGAAGTCGGCAAGAAATTCTCGTGAATTTTAAGAGAGATCTTCGATTCCGATTCCCACGGGAATTAGCGGCGAGTTCCTTAGCCACTGAATCCTTCTTTGACTTCATATTTTGTCTCCCCGGCGTTGCACAAGGCCGAGAGGGGAATATCAAATAAGGGGAAACAGGATTTTCACGAGGAAAGCGCAAAGAAGCGAGAAAGTAGATTCCGTTCGAGAATGTCGAGCTTATGGCACCGTCTCAAACTTCGTTAATCCTTCCATGTTCTGCTTTCTGTATACTCATTCTTACAGTTAGACATATACCTCTGTTAAAAATTTATATAACACTTGCAATCGTTAATATTGGAACGAATTCAAGTCTAAAACAGAAATGTGAAAGTTAACTGCGTTTAAAGGTGAAAAAGAATTTCGGCAAAATGGATTTTTGTCTTTGTTCATTTGAAGTATTTTGTTCATTTTTTGCAGGAGATGGAAACGTCAGCTTTGAAGAATTTGTGGAAATTGTGAGCAACATCGGCGCGAGTGAAACCGCCCACACAGACCAGGATCAGGAAGAGCAAGAGCTGAGAGATGCATTTCGGGTACGTGTGTTTTTATCTTCCCTTTTATTCCTTGAAAGTTTGATTCGGTCCTATTTCAACAAAATTGCTAGCAAGAGAAAGAACGGCGTAATTGCAAATAAAAATGAAATTCATGTTCAACGACAACAGAATCGATTATCACCGATGCCAGACATTTTCTATGCACTTCGCGACGAAGAGAATTCATGGCCAGTCGAGTTCTTGTTTTCGCGCGTTGAAATTTTCGGGACACGTTCGCCCTGGCGAAATATAAAGCTCCGATGACGACAGCTTGCATTCTTATGCGCATACAATATAACTTACTGCCTCTACGTGAGAAGCAGCGATCCGTTAAGGAAAACAAATCTTTGCAAGAACCTCGTGGTAGACGAGGAGAGCTTTAAATTCGCAACGTCGTAGGTTGTATATTCGGATTTCTCCAAATTTTTGGTTATCACCGTCGTTCTTTTAAAAGATGACGTCAACACGAACGATTTTTGTATGATTTTCCTTTCTATCTTTGACGCGTTGATTTCACAGTAGAAATCTCAATATCTAGCGCGACATAGTAGTAATTCCAACTGCAGTCAACGCAATAACAATCTATACTATAGTGGGCTATATTAGACCGTTATTTTCAGCATGGCAATCAACATCTCAAACGTCCAACCGTTTTGCAACGAGTTCTCATAAACGAACACGATGCAACGTAGAATTTACCATTCATAGAAGTTCCTGTTCTGCAGCGTTAAACGACTTCTCATAAACGAACGCCACGAAGCGTACAATTTTCCATTCATAGAAAGCCTTATTTCGCGAGCGTTTCCTGTAAGTTCAACCGAATCCTGAAACGTTGAAAAGGAACGTAAGAAGCGCAGTCGTTGGAATGATTAAGTCGATCGCGTCATCGAGGACGCCTCTTTGTTTCGTCTCGCGGCCCGTCCAGCCGTATCGGACCCGTGGTTTCAATACAAACGTTAATAATAATTGTCAGATAACGAGTAACGAACGACAGATTTCGTTCGGAGGCATACAAAGCTTTGCATCCAACGTTCGCAGCTCGTCAAGCTCTTACAAAGGCGACGCGTCCACGTTGTTCCGATGTTTTCTCAACGATTCCAATTAATTCTCGCATGCGCACGAATTTGTCCTATTGATGATGATTCTTAAAATAATAAGGGCTCTTCATTTTTTTAAGTTGGCAAACTTTTATCTAGATTAGTTACATTTATCAGCGTATAAGTTTTGATACCGATTTTGGGAGAAGGGTTGATTAGCAAGAAAATTTTGTAAAATGAGAGATTAACAATTCAGATAGCTAAGTTCGTTAAAATATTCAAAACCAGAAAACTTTCCTTTAGGATAGCTTAGTTCTCTAGTTCGAACTTTTTACATGTTAAACTTGAATCGATTTTGCGAGATAATTTGAATACTTATCCAATTTGCAAGCATTGGAAGATTTTGGTTAAAGATAGTTACATTAATTTCCTCTTCTCAAGTGTTAAGCTTGTTGACCGTGTAAACGGCTGATTGATTGATCGTATAAACGTAAGAGCATGTTCGAATCCTATGAGATCTATTTGAAAGGATCTTATCTTTCTGGAAAAGCAGAAAAGTGAACATCGTATCGGCTGTCTCCTAAGCGTGATACTTGCCTTTACGCCTTACGTCCTTTGAAAAGCATCGCGACGTGTCGCCGATTTTAAGCTGCTATGCAGCGAAGCGCGTTAAGTGGATGCCTTTTCATTCGGCCAGAGAAACTAGGTCCAACGAAGTCGTCGACAGTGAGACATCTTATATTACCTTCAGGGACTCGTCCTTTTTCCTTAGGGAAAAGTATCTCAATGGATGCAGCGTCTTCTTTAAATCCGTCTTGTCTCGCTGCTTCATTCTCGTAGTGAAAAAATTTATCCAAGTCGCTGTGAACGAATGCGAACTATTTGTCGCTCGAAAATATAACGAAAAGTAAAAAATTTAGCTCGTCCATATCCATTACAGAAAGCATAAACAATTCTGTTATTTGATATGCAACAGAATGTTAATTACAGTTCGCGGACAAACGATTAAAAATCGGCCAACGATTTATTTTCAGCTTATCCGTTATCGTCGATAATGAACGAGCTAAGTGAGCATCCAACTTCCGGCGCGAAAACGAAACGAGTTGAACGACGGAAAAAAAGATTCAGGGTTAGAAGAACTTGCAAAGTTTAAGCCGCTGGGTGAAATGCATATTTCCCAGTCTTCTTGGTATCCATCAAAGGAATCCTTACGCAACGAGTGCATAAGTTGGAGTCCCTGAATCGTCCTTTCTCATTCATGAAGACAGAAGACACCATTAACGTCCGCTTCAAAGTTCTAATTGATAAATTGAAGTCCAAACGAGTTTCGCGGGACGGTGCTTCTCAGCCTCATTGTATAAAACGATGCAGGTTCGTCCCAAAGCTTGGAGTAATTTAAAATTCAGCCCGGATCTAAGTTTTCTCGTTTCTACCAGGTCCGGGTCGAATCGTAGCCGTTCGTTCGATAAATTCTCGTTGATTCTCGTGATAGAAGCATTTAGAGCGGAGATTCTAGAGAGAACCAGGAACAAGAGAACTTTCTCTCAAGTTCCGTCCTTTTCTTCTGTCTTTTTACCCTTTATAATAATATCCCGGGGCAATAGGAATACTTAGCGAGCTTTCGAAGCTGAAACGCGGTCAGGATCAAAGAGGAAATACCTGCAACGAGGTGGAAACTTCTTGGTCCCGAAACAGACTACGTCGTACGATCGAGTTTGAGTCTTTTTGGATGTCGATACTCCTCCGTTTTCCACGGGAACATGTTTGTTCCGGAAATAAGAAGGTGACGACGTGAAACACGAGGAAACTTCTTGAACACGTGACGTAATCAAAGACGGATCGAACAGGCAGGATTACGTCGGTTCTTGCAAATCCCCCTTTAACGTTGTCTGCCGGTACACCTTTCGCCTGTCGTCGTTTTTAGATAAAAAACCGTGATCCAACCCTAGATGTCCCCCGATGGAATTTTCAGCCCCGTCAAAAATACGTCGATGAGTCTTATCGGTACCAGGAAATTGTCTTCTTATCTCTTCCCGCGTTTCTTCCTTTTGCTTCTGGTTCTTTAGATTTTGCTCGTATCTAAAAAGGAAAATGATTCAAAAAATATCAGTCAAATTTTGTCAAATACCATACCATGCTAAAGCTGCATCAAATTCGTCGTGCGTCAATTTATCGATACTTCTTATCAGTATGCACGAGGTTACTCGGGGTGATATTTACACGTGTTTCCCTCCATAAAGAACTGATTCGTTCGTCTCAGCCGAATACGTGTGTATTTGTTTTCGTGGATGCACTATGTTCAATGTTTATGTACAGTATTTTAGTTCGATACAGCAATTTTATGGTTCACGAAACTTCGTTATAGCTAACCGTTATCCAACAAGCATTTTGTCCTGTTAATTAGAGACTGGCCACGTGCGCCGGTCTGATAAGTGCAGATTTAAAGCTGCATCCAGCGTTAAACCTTCCAAGATCGCATCTACCTGTACTGTGCCTTTTTACTTATCAACTCGTATGAATTTTCTCCTTCGATCGTCGTTTTTGCACGATACTCCGCCTGAAAGGTTATCCGTGCTCTGGCGTTGCAGAGGTTTCACGAGTTTTCCACTTGCCGTGTTTAAAATGTTCACGCTCGGAGCTGGTCCGCTCTTATCTTGAGTGACAATGAGCTGGGACTTTGTGTAATATAATGGCCCGCTACCATTACGTATGCATATGAAATTCGCGTAGAATGCTGCTGCTCAAAAGTGCGACCGGTCACTGCTGGAATTCTGGAGTAATTAAAAGTCGTTTAAAACAGAGACACTCTTTTATAAACGATTCTTAAAGGAGGAAAGTTTTTCTGCTGATCCATGTGACGATTCATCAGGTTTCAAGAAAGACACTGATAAGGATGACACCATAGTTTGTTACAGTGAAGTGGGATTTTTAAAATACTTAATGAACGATGGTCAGAGGTGACGTTGGTAAATAATTAAAGAGAGAGGTGACGAACATCCAGAATATTGTGCTCGTAATTAAACACATTACTCTCACTATAGAAGCAACCTAATCCGAGCTTCGTACAAATGGCAGAACTACTCTGGTTACCGCGCGAATCTTTCGGTTCCTCTTCCGGCTAAAAGGTACCTTTTAAGCTGACAGCGTGCAAGAACGTAACAGCCAACGAGGCTACTGGTTTCGTATAAAAGCGCACGTCCATTAGTCCCCTCGAGACCCGTAAATTCGCGGAATCGTAACACGATTCAATTCTTCTTTTATCCGTGAGATTCTCTAGGACCATTTGAACCTATCGCGTATTCAACGAGGAATTCATGTAAATCAGTTTGCTGTAAATTCTTGATGACCAGCGTCGAATTTTAACGGGTCCGATTCGACAACGAGTTGACCTGAATTTTACAGAACTTTTTGATAAAAAGAATTCAGAATCGGTCCTTTACAATTACTTTCGACATTTCCTTGGATGTAGTAATTTGCATCGTCTTCGCGCTAAACTTTAACTTACTAAAACATCGGTATTACTCGTTAGAGCAAAAATTTTCGCGACGAGAAGTCGATCGACTTTTTCTCATCCAGCACCACTTTTCTATATGTATGCATATACGGGATAGGTTCACTCGTGTGTGCTCGACTTCCAGAAGTCGATAATGCGCTTTCGACACGCGATCGTACCTATTCGTCCTCATTTCCACCGCAACGATAATGTACCACCCACGTGTAGTTATCGTACATATTAGTTAGTCGAACGAGCTTAGTCACTGGCCCAACTAACTTCGCCTTAGTGCTCCCTTTGCGTTTGTTAGACTATTCTCAATAGGTGCGAATTGGCAAACAGTTAATTACATGTTTCGATTATTTACTGTTCAGAGGTTTATATGACCCTTGTGTGTGGGCAATTGGGCACCTTCCTACGTATTTCTACATTTCCTTTTAATCATTTTACGTGTCCAGAGAAAATATTGC